ATCTAAGTAAGATTTTTCTCAACCCTCGACAGAGCTTGCTGAAGACAGGTGTTTATTATTATTTCAAGAGTATTTCAATGCTCACTGCAAGCAAATAACATGACAAATCCACGATTAAAAAGCGTCAACGAAGTGTGTTTTCACGCTTAGGTACACGTCATCAGCTGCAAACTCGTTTCCAGTCTACGGAACCATTTCAAGATCAAAATCAGAAAGCTCTGTACAAAACAGAAAACCTGTGTTTTAATTTTTTGAAATTTGTCTCCTATCGAAACTGGCTCTCGTACAAGTGATAAACTAAAACATTCACACAAAGATATTTCGTTTCCTGGGAACTTCAAATAGATGGTGTTTCTAGACAAAAACTAATTACCAACTGATACAGGCACTCTGAGCTTTTGACAAGTTGCTACTGAAAACGATTGCGCTCTATGAGTTTGTTCATTTAGGAAACAAGAGGGTGGGTCACGTGGTTTTCGGGGAAGAGGTCGTGTTGTGTTTAAGAGCTTTAAAAATAGTTTAAAAAGTTAAAACAGTTGTCTTTGCTGATAGCAAGAGGCCTGACGAAAACAAAAATAGGCTTTTCTGCTAAGGGCATGAAATCAGTGTTTGGCATCCTGTGTAACAAACAAACTTCCCACAGTTAATGAGTTGTGAATGTTTCGCATCTTAGCACCAAGTTCAGCGTGCGAAAATGTGGCTGTGAGCGATAGGATTCAAAATAAGACGGCAATATTAAAAAAAGGAGTCCCATTATGAAACTACCTTTGGACTGGAAGCAGTTGAGGCCTTTAGTACACAACACGATGAAACAAAAACACTAAGTATTTGATATGACGAAACTTGATATGATTTTCTGAAATGAGCGTAAAGCTCCTAAACAAGCACACACACAAAAGACCCGACGTTGGGAACACCAAACCGTTCTTTTATCGCGCGGTTAAATTACTTCTTTAAAAGCTTTATATGACATAGAGGGCAATCGATTCGTTTTATCTTCAGACAAAAACAATCTGGTGTTTAAGACACGAAAGCATTGCGCCTATGGACAATAGCTTTACAACGTGTTGCCCAGGTGCTGTTCTGGTCATTCACGACATAAAACGTCCGATTCAAAATTGAAAATTAAAATGTTAAAAAGCCCAAAATAATGAAAACGAAAATATGAGAGCAAACCGGTCTAGCTGGATCATATCCTATTTTCCCTTTTCATTTTGAACGTGACGCCTACAGTACCCAACGTATATCCTTGACAAAATTAAATAGATAAAAATGAACTATTTGGAGTGACTGAAATAATGCTTCACACGTTACATCTGGATAAACATAACTTAGCCGCTTTAGAGCTCTGTCGCAGAAAGATCATTCTGCTGAGCGGGATTGCTGGCCAGCTCGTTTCGAAAAAACACTCCTAGTGAAAGAAATTTTTTAACTAAGAGCGATGAAGTGAGGTGTATGACAACCAAATTGAGTGATGAAATTTATTAAAGTTTGCTAAGACCTCCCCACAAACCGAAAACTATGTAAGGAAATCCAACAATAGCGATTTACGAAAATCCCAGACCAAAACTCAGTACAGGGGAAATTGAAACTAAGACTTGCTGATAAAGTGGGCCACATTTCTTAGTTAAAATTCGATAGCACCAACTTGGAGGCTGTACGACCGCCACAATTACTTTAATTACTTTTTGGTGAGAATCTCCAAGGTATCGCTAATAAAGGCTTTACAGTCTCAAACACAAATATTTCCTGTGCAAAAAGTGAAATATAATGATCACCACAAATGATAAAGAGAATTCGATGTCAAGGTATCATGCCCCAGCTGTTTATCAAGGATAACAGATAACAGAAGAAAAAAGCAAAGTGCTTATCACAGTCTGTCCTGTCCTTCGTCTTAAGTTATCTCCAACTTTCTAACAAACGTTTGTACACACAAGCTCAATTCCTCAGCCGATAAGAGTTGGTTCCAGATCGCTTGATAACTGACGCGTCCTACCTGCGTTGTGTTAGCGACATCAGCCGAGGCGGTGCCACATATGGATCAAAAGTTGCGGTCGGAAGCTGAAACATATTTCTCCTTCAGACAGCACCGACTTTTTATTTGAATGACCAGACAAATCGATATTAACTATTTTATGGGTGTGTGAGGTTGCACTGGACTGTTGAAATAAACGCTAACTCCATATGAAAGTACCAATTTATCAGAGTGAGCATAGAAACCGTCACCCTTATCAATGACAAGTTACAGTTCATATGCAGTTGAATGCGAAAATAAAAGCTTATCGCGACAGACACAGAAAGGCAAGAAAAAAAAATGCCCTATCACTATCTTATCTAGAATGGGAAAAATAAGCAGTTTCGCGAGCTCGCCCGAACACGTACTTAAACCACAGAAGTCTTTATCAGGATGGCTGCATGTCGATCGAGAACAAACAGCGTCCTCGAAATGACGTGATTTGCTGACCACAACATTTAGTTCCTCCAACCAGTTTAACTTGTTTTTTTTTTTTTTTTCCTCGGGAGAAACTGAACTATTCACCCACTCATGTTCGCGTGACTTAACTACTAGTTTCCATTATTTTCGTTGTTAAACAGAGCGTATTTATAAACCCAATATTTACGTTACTTGATTGCGTGCAAGACTGTTCTGGCACATCCTGCGCTTGTTACACTTTGCGTGGGACCTCCATTTTGTTTATCAAATACACTACCGTCGTTTCTCGTGTTAATGATATTAATTAAACCGCTATAACTGTTTACGGCTTTTAATACTTACAGACGAACCTCTCTTCATGAAAAAAAACTCAACGGTGCGTCTTACCCAGAGACGAGAAATTTCGGTAAAAGCCAGTAAGTCTGTTGGTTACGCATATTTTCTCGTCCGATAAAAAGAATAAACCAGTATTTCTCTCTGGGACGAGACATAGTAGTTGAATAAAAGTATGTGAAATAACACATACTACTACAACTACACTTAACCGTTATCTTGACGTTGTTGCAGTTCAACAAAAAAAAGTTTAATTGCTACAAACGCTCTGATAATTGCTACACCTAAACCTTGAACTCAACAGTTTATAAAACTGTCCGTCGTGTTGCTTTGATTACAACCTTACACGGCGTTACTCAAGCTCCTACGTCAGAGTATAAAATACCTGCTAATTGAATAAACGTTGTTTTTCACTTGTTTTAACGGACCTAAAACCTTTTAGCTCAGCATGCGCCAAAGCTTTTCACTTGCTGTTTGCAGACGGACTTTGACCGTCACTTTTTTAACAAACAGTTTCCTGCGATGAGAAAATGTATCAGCTTTGACAGCTATTCCACTGATTAATCTACGCTTATTTCCCTCCGAAAAACACAATGTAAATTTCAAATAATATTTGAAACAGCGAAATCCGTTGTGTTTTTCGAGGTATTTCTGTTTTTTTTTTTTTTCTTTGATACTTAATGCAAAGATTATTCTAGGCTTAACGAAACATTCCAATTACATAGACTGGAAGTAAGCCTTCCGCCAGAACGTCTTTTATTTTGTTCTGAAAATATTTTTCCATAAATTCATTTCTGGGAAAAAATGAAGCAAACCAAAACTATTTTCCAGAAATAGTTTCATAACATTGTCACCTGCCAATGTTATATTTAAACTGTACCTACAGGGGAAAGTGTGAATCGATCTTGTGAAAAAAGGCCCGGAAATCAACGTTGAACTTGGGATTGGAAAGTACACTTGGAAAAGCACTATTGGAAGATAACGATCTGACTAGAGCTGCTTTTAGGCTAAGTGCACATTAAGGCCACGTTATAGCAGGGCCGAAAACAACGTGTTTTTAATCTAAAATACGCACTTAACTTTCGACAACTGAGAAAACAAACTTAAGTCCCTTTTAAGCCGTAAAAGCATTGCTTTTATAAACTTAGTGGAAAGTTCAATTGATGAGCGCAAACTTCCACAGATCAGTTAATGTTGTCTATACAGCATGATGAAAATTCGACACAGGTTTTATTGCATGGTGTGTTTTTATCTCTCTATTTTCTTTGTTTCGTTTGATTTCTGGATGTTTCTTTTGTATTCGATATACGAGTAATTCACCACACTGAAAACATAGCAAATATTTTTTTTAGTCCCTCCATTAGCAATGAAGATAATATTACCTTCTCTTTTACCCAGCGACACATTTTTAATCAACGTAACATTGTTATTTAAGTACACAATTGCTCGAAGCGCCCCGCCGCCTTAATCTAACATTTTTTAATATCTGCCAGTTGATAATTTCAATTTCGTGCTGTTAAAAGCGGTATTATTAATCACACAATCCTGATAAGAGAAGAAAGGAACAGAATATGTCTTGCTGACATACTAGAATAGCTTAAATGATTGCAAACGTCCTCTCGCAGTGTTCTTTCTTTCTTTTAATAAATTCTCGTCTAGTGAGGCTGCGAAGTGCCAAGGACATAGATTTCTTGAAGGCAAACAGGTATAGACTGAGGAATGCGCAAAAACGTGGGCTCTCCAAATTGCGAAGCAAAAGCAAGCACTTTTAGAAGGAATTACTTTGCTAAAAATTCCACACATGAGCAGCCACAAGCCAATCGCGCGAGTGAGTTGTTATTGAAAATGTATACAATATTAAACCTCCATGCATGTTTAATTGATCTACGGTCACAGCTCAATCAAAAAGGCTGAGTGTCGCCATCTTGTTGCTTGCTCTGATGTGGTTTTCCGGCTGGGGCCACAAAAAATGGTGACAATATGTTCAAAGAAGGAATTTTGCGACGAATCTCTGGATCAAATCAAAGCAATTCTTCCTGTAGAACGCTAAACCGATGATAAATCAATCTTACACTGACAATGGTCATTTAGGCGAGTGTAAAATTATTTCTTCAACGCTTAGATCTCAACGATCACGCGCACTGTGCATAGGAGTGTTCTCAAAACATATCTAGTTAACAATGTGACGAAATTTTAAATTTGCCTCTGTTATCGCTAAAACGCAAAGCCTTACCGTTTATTTCAGAAGACATGGCTCGTTGAACTTTCCACCGAGCACGTTTACCGCCAGAAGTGATACGTTCGTTTCAGCACTGCGGAAACAATAATGGAAGCGATTGCAACCTGCAAAGGATAGAAAGGGAGTTTCATTAACGCGAGGGCTTTGTGATATTGTCATAAACGTAGCAAACGTGTAATCTGGCTTACACAGGTTGAGCGCTGTTTCGTCTACTGGCGTTATGGCGCGTGCACTCCGCAAGAGGACCGTGACAAATTGGTACTGTTGTGTTTGCGTCGATTGTGAATTTGAGCCCTCTTGCAAAACAATCGTGCGGAGAAGTTGGGAAATTTGATAAAAGTAAAAGCTACTCTTACGTTATCAAAGATGCCCCCACAAGGAGATTAGCATAACACTAATGAAATTTTATTAAATTGAATGCAGTGTATACTATTGATTAGGCCGTGTTCCTACTTTTCAAATAGCCTTTTAATTATTTAACCGGATCTGACCACAAACCCATGTAAATTGAAATGTGCCTCGGGAGCTGTCGCTAATTACGAATACCAAAAACAATTGTTTTTCGTTTCTTTTCGAATAAAATTAAACGAAGTTTCGCGCTAACGAACAATGATCACGACGCAGTCGATTAATTTCTCTTTGAGAAGTAGTGTGTTGATTCCACGTTAGTTGAAGAATTCCTGCAATCTTTGGAGCGAACTTCGAGCTCCAAAGCAAAGAAGGCTCGCTCTCTAGCGTTCAATTACACCCCATTCTTTAATTGAAATGTATAAATAACACTTAAATCTCCTAAGAACCAAAAGTAAATATCGTATTTCTTTACACGTTCCTTCATTAGCATAGAAGCATTAAAGTTCGTCTTGACAAGAGCGATAAAAGTTGCCCAGACATTTGAGACCTTTCCACAGATTAGGAGGAGACAAAATTATCGAGGCAAACTGATAAACCGCGACGCTTTGGGCTGGATCCATTTTCTGCTGTTTAATTAATCCTGAGGAAAATAAGCCATTTACTATTTTCAGTTCTCACTTGTTAATTACCTGATGGCTAGCCAAGCTATCGCGAGTGGGGTTGAAAGGGAAATTAAAATTTTTGCTGCCTTGCTGCGGTGTGCTCATCAATCTACGCTTTCAATTACATATCGCAGATTCATGAAGATTCCTGTTTGTTTTGTTTTCCGTTTGCTGTAGCTCAATTTGCTTTTGCGTGTTCTTAACGAAGACTCAGCAATTTAGATCTTAATTGAAAAAATAAAAACGAAAAGAAGTTTGGCGTTCAGTGAAAACAGAAACACGCGGGCGCACGTTTCATTTTTCAGGTTTTACATGAAGTCACTCGCGGGCTTTCGCTGTCTCCCGCGAAAAGATTACCAAGCGCTGCATTCAATTCCCGCGAGCATCTTAATTTCGCCAGATGAAATGACGAATGAAACTTCTAATAAAACTAGATGAAAAGCATCAAGTGTGATACTGTGAAAGCTTTTATGTCATTTAAAGAATCACACTCATTTCGTCTTTTCTGTCGGTTTAATTTAACGTTTCTGAAAGCATTCGTTGACAATTAACATCTTATGCGGACAATAACAGGCTGAACAAAATCATCAAAGAAAGAAATCATAAATGAAATCGAAAGTAAATGCGGTAAACGTGATGCCTCACTTCCTCCAGTACCGAAAGTTTATTTCAGCATGAACAAAAACGATTTTACCATCTTTGTCCCATGGTAACAGCCTGTCTGTATTAAAAGATTATTTTGTGTTTAACTGTCATTAATTAATCCATAGAGAAAAAAAAAATCCTGCTTCCCGTCAAAAAGGCTCATTTGTTGACCCATGTTTCGATCATTTCATAGTCGATGTTGTATTAATTTTCACTTTTGATGACAAGATAACATCAGATAGACAAATGCAATTTAAGTTTGGCATTTCTCAATTGGTTCGACTATTAAATGGTTTCCCAGTGACACGGCACCGCTCAAACTTGTCAATTTCTTTGAGTGCATCGTCAAAAATTCATTTCACAAATGAGAAAAAAAATATTTGGCAGGGGGTAAAGTGAAATCATATTTGCTAAAAGCACACGGAACCCTGTCGAGAAAATTTGGTCATTTATAACTTTTAACTGATAAAATTAAAAGATAGAATTTACCTTATCTCTATTTTGGGAAAAAAGGTAAAACAATTATTTTGCATTAGCGTGCTTTTATGGAAATAATGTTCCGTTATTACGAGATCACAAAAGGGAACATGCTACAATTGAAGTAATTCTTTCGATTATAAAATGCGATCTAGCTCTCGAATTAAAAAAACATCTGGAATCAGTTGATTTCGAGTGTATGATAAAGGTGGACTTCAGAGAGCCATAGCAAAAACGTCATTTTTTAAATAGAAAAATCAGACCGTGTATTGTGTAAAATTTCATTATTAAACAGTGTTATTTCATAGAAATCCGTGCAGTTGTTCGATTGGCAAAAAAAAAAAAAAAATCTGCAAAACAGTACCTGTCTCTCATAAATCTTCTTCACATAGTCTTTAAAGAGGATTTTTTTTAGCTTGTAGGTAATAGAATCACTGATTATTTGGGCCGAAGCCTTTCCAATCAGAGCGATAATTTAGGTTAGCACCTTTAGCTACTTTCCGTATCTCTATTTCAGTGCGAAAATCAGCTGAAGTCCGGAAGGAAACCATCCCGCCTTCTTCAAGCTGAAAAAAAGTCTCCTAGGATTATGAAGTATTTTGATTTAGTCTCAAGTCGAATCACTATCATTATCTACTAGGTGTAAAAAACCAGATACCTGTATATTGTAAAAAATTAAGTCACTTTCTGCGTCTGTTCGTGTTTACTAGACTTAAGAGGCAGAAACACAACAAGCATGTTAAGAAAAGATCGCATGAAATCGCTAAAAGGAAAAAAATATGTAATAGCGCACATTTACCTTCTTTCCTTATCAAATGGACTTCTCCTCTAAGCTCTAATTGCACCGAAAGTGGTTGTGAAATATTTGCGCAGTTTTATTGATGCATCTGTTGAATTGTCATCACCGTCAAAGAATATGAGGTGAGAATGACTGATTCTCTCTGTTAAATGTATGTTCTCTTAAAAGCTATTTCTTAAAATGCAAGTAAGCTCATCAACTTGTTATTCCGTCCGTCCAGTCATCCGTCCATCCCCTTACCCAGTTAGTCACTTTCCACTTCTAACTTGCCACGGTGACTCACTAATCGTCTCGATAAAGATAAGGGAATGAGAAATGGAGTTGTGTCTTGTATCTAAACAAAGCTTCGGACACGGTAGATCTTAAAAATTTAAATAAACAAAGCTTGGAAGTATCATTCGTTCAACAGACCTCATATTAAATTCATACACGAGATAGCGGTCTCCGACAGTGCTATTCTTTGACTTTGACCCTTTCTACTCTAAGTGGCAATATAAACACCCTCCATACTCAGTATTCCCCGCACAGTTCAGCTGGTGCTGACAAGGAAAATAAGCTTAACAATCAAGAGCTTCTTTAGTTGGCGAACATTTCCTTTGTTCTCATGACTAAAATGTTCAATTCAGCAGTGGCACTAAAAGAAGAAATTATCTTACAGTCACTCTGAAAGATCAAAGGGTTGGTGCGATAAGTTCCTCAACAATCCAAGCTTGTGGGCCTCTTTGCGTCAAATAAACACAGGTGATCTCACCAACACAACTAATTTGGCTACTGCAAGAACGAAGGTGGCTGAGAGTTTATACGTGACACGCGATTAAGGCCAAAATTGATATATGACGCGTGGATTTTACAGCAAGGCGAGTGTATTCAAGAACCAGTGTGAGGCATGATTTGCTTCCTGAAGTATGAGGCCTGTACATTTTTCTCTCAGTTCGGGAAAACCTCAAGATATCCCTGAAACCTCGAACACAAGAGGATAGATTCAAAGTTTTCCCTTTTAGGTACGTGTTGCGTCAATTTTGTTTTCGCAAATTCCCCTCCCCTCTCCTTTGCTACCTCAGATACGAACAAAGAGCAAACGACACTAAATGAATGCCAAACGAAAGTGACTTGCCGTAATTAACTCTTAAACTCCCAAGATCCGATTGTTAATTCTCCCCTCAAGCTGCTACACATTTCCTTGTAAAGTAACGAGAATTTGGTGTTAGTTCAAACAACTTCAACCTGACAAGTTTGAGAATTGTCATCACCTGTTTGCTGTACAAAGTAATGATGGAAAAGTTACCTGTAAATCCTTTCTGGAAGGTAAAGTGTCAAATGCTAACGACACTGAAGCAGGCTCCAATGGATGAACCACCGGTCTACAGTGCTAAAGTAACTTACTGGTTACAGTGAGATATCGAATTTCATTCTCAGTGGATTTTCTCAAAATATGATTGAGCTAGCCCTGGTTTAAAGAAGGTACTCAAGAAAATTAAAAACAAAATTAAATTCCAGTCCTGGATAAGCGATACCCTCCTTTCGAACAAGCCGAGCCTAGTGGATGAAAAATAAGTGTTATGCTCCAGAACCAGAATATGATGGCTTACCTTTCCTCTGGACAGGGGTAACGGAGGCGCAAGGAATTAGATTCTACAGCCGAAGTGGGGACTAAGTACTAGGCCAGGAAGAAGAGTACTCTGTCAAACTCCGTCATTTTAGACGAGCCCGTGCCTGTCATTAAACCGAAAGAGGTGGACATGGCGGCTAACGGTCATTTAAAGTTCATTCTGCAAGACTGTGATACAAGGAAAGGGAAAATCCCTTACTGACCAAAAGCAATCTTATTCAAAAGCCGCTTTAGAAGGGTTTATAAGGAGCACCTTGTTGGACGCGAGAAGAGAAAATTCCTTCTTCAGGACAACGTTGATCAACAGCGGAAGCTTTTATGAGAGAACCAAGGTCGGAAAGCCAGATGAGTTCGACTTCCTCATTCAACTCGACAGTTTCTCTGGCCCTGAGAGATATCACTTTTAGAAATCCCTTGTTCTACCGTGCTGATGTTACCCGCAGACAAGTCAATTTGGGAAGACCTCTCCTCCTATTTTTCTGACTACAAATGGGATTTTGGATGGCAAATATGAGAATATCAAGACACCTTTTCATAAAATCTTCAACAAGAAAGCGAAAG